TTATCTGTCAATATTTCTGCAGGTGGCCCCCAGTCATATAAGATGGACTCCAATTGACATATTATGCTGGCAGTGTCCTGCCGATACAGTAGTTGCCAAATGGCGAAGCGAGAGGGTCCACTAATAATAATCAAATAGAGCTGGCTGCCAACATGCATAACATCTATCCCCAGCCTGTTCCAAACATGGGTAGTACTCAAATTTCCTTTTTGCTATTGCACCGGTGCCGGGTCAATTGACTGGCATGCCTCATACCTCTGTACTACTGTCCTAACATCTGCCTTTTTGACTGCTGGGTTGACCATCCCGGGATGTCCACACTGTTCATGTATGCTCATGATCCGCTCGAGGTCCATACTGAGCGCAGAAGCCATACACGGCAGCTGCAGAGGTTCAGACTCTTTCCGAGCAGCAGCCAACCAACGTTGCGGAACATGAGTCAATGCATCTGCTCTGTTGACTGCCGATTTAACTAACACTACATCCACAGACAGGTTGTACTCTTTGATAGTTTCAATCAGCATGGCGAGCCGCCTTCATATCAACATCTCTCTCGATGCCTTGGTGGTCAGTCGCGCTCTTCCAGTAAGTGCATCTGATATCCAACACTGAGTGCATGCTGAGTCCATGATGATGTGTAGCACTGTTGCTTGCCATTGGAGTGCCATTAAGACCAAATCCCAATCAAGTGAAGCAATATCTCTGTCCTTTTACCATGACAGTCTGAAAGGGCCAGAGTAATCGGTGGGCTCGGACTTGGAGGTAGACCCTTCTTAAATCGAGGGTGGCCTTTCCCCTTATTCTCTGGCACTATTGCCATCAACAGAATCAGTCCTCGAGATGGCCCTAGCTCCTCCTCGGGGTATGGCGCAAGCCAGCCGTTTGCTGTCCAAAGCTGCAATTCATTTTCATATTCGCTCCTGATATGCTCTGGAACCAGGTACTTTGCTATCTTATTTTTCAGTGGCGCGGACATTTGGCCACTCGCCCACTTCCACATTGCAGTCCATACATGCCTGCGCTGGTCGCAAGTTGCACTGAAGTCAGGTTCGTTAATCCTCAAAGCAGCACAGATGGGCGGATTGGAAAACTCGACTTTGCCCACCTCTGTGATGCATATGCCGCCCAGCTCCTTAATAATGTCCATCCCAATTTTTGCATCAAAACCTTAATAACGCGCTGTCCATGACCAACACACGGACTGTGACAGGGTTACTTTTTGTTGATACTGAGTTTGATGTTTCCAACTTCCCGCTTCTAAGAGCCTTTCCATCGGCTATTAGTACGTCCATCTTTTGTCTGCTCCAGTGCTGACAAATCAAACCGTTCGTGAGTGACCGAGAGTAGCCCAAATCTAGTAAAGCGGTACACGTTATTCCATTAATGCGCATCTTAATCACAGGGAGTGCCTCTTTCATGCTTGGTACGGGGAAGAGACTGACTGACATCACGTCCCCCATTCCATTTCCTGGACACTTAGAGGCAATGTGACCTACTTTATGACATTGGAAACATCATAGATTGAGATGTGCCTTTTGCGCTGACCCACTGCACATTTCTTCGCGTTGATAGCAGCAGTCTTTGGCAAAATGATTCGGCCCAGAGCACTGAGAGCAGGTGACATCGCCATGGCAATGGATGGCTGGGGTCAGATCCTCTTTGACTTCAATTGGTTGAACAACTGCGGCCACTGGTTCATCAGCCTCTTTTTCGTCGATCATGATAGCATGGGCTCTGATCTACAATTGATTGAGCGTCATGTCTTCTATTCTAGATGATGTTCGGAGTATCTGCTTAACATGACTAGGCAATCCAGACACGAAGGCACAGGTCATCCATTCTTCAGGAAGCAGTGCAATCAGTACGGCGAGCTTCTTTAATTCCACCACATATACGTTTACTGTCTTGCTAGGTTGCAGACGCCGCACCTAGAATTGGTCATAGGCCATGAACCGGTCAGTACTAAATGCAGTTAGTAGAGCGCATTTTATTTGCTCAATGTCACTTTTCTGTTCTTTGCTCAGCTGCCTATACACAGCAAGGGCGCTGCCTTTCAAGCACAGTGGAAGAATCCGTTCAATCTTTGTGATCTCGCATAATTTGCAGACCAGTTCTACATTTTTGATCCATTCAACCACTGACTGTCCACTCGTATCACCACTGAATTCAAAGATCAGGTTTATGTCGAACGGTCTGTCCGCCATCTTGCTAGAGACAAAGTAGATGCCGAAATAGCTTGTGTTGGAATGTGTCACGAAAAAATAAATGATTTTGTCTCTTTCTCTCCTGCTGTCGTAGCGACAGGCACAGTCTCCACTCTGAGACAAAAAATTGCCTTCCTTCTCATTCCAGCCCTTTACATAGAGCTTGGTAACTCACCTATGCAAAACACCAACAAGCCAGCTACCAATCACAGTTCCCACACCTACCCACCTCCACTCGCTTTGGGGCTGTCAAGTTGACCGACCAACTGTCATATCAATGCTGAAATCTGCTCATCATTTCATTCAGCCAAGTATTGCATCAAATATATATCAAAGAGGTCAGATCAAACTGTTTTTGCACAAATCCCCACTGAAAAGATTTTTCTATTTGATTTAAATTAATTTTAAATTTGAACAAAGGCATGACTCCTATCCAAAATATAGGAGAAAGCCAGAAGATGGAGGTCATATCAGCAAGATCATTGAGTAATACTGAAATGCATCATTTTTCTCCACAAATTATAACAATGATTTAAAATCAATCATCATTTTCTTACAAAAAAATGTTCGACACATGGCAAGGCGCAGGTAATTCAGCTAGTATACATATAAAATTTCAGATATAACTAAAACTGTATTTAATAAAGAGCAATATGAATAAAAACTAAGATAAGTTTTCCTCTTGTTTTTATTCATATATATGTATATATATATATATATATATATATATATAAACACACACACATACATATCATACAGTGGGATTTTTATTATCTACTTATTGATCACATAGCCTGAACTACTTTTTACTAACATTCTTAATAGGAGGAATTACATCAATAAGCAAACATGCCTTGTGTTCCCATAACAACAAAATATTTTATTAGTAATTAGGGACATCAGATTGTTAACACAACACTGGATATTTATTTTCTTATGTTTCAGTTTATTTCGATATATTTACTATTACAATTTCAAAGGCAGAATTCTTTCATACATGTCACAATAGAGTAAGTTGTAGCAATAAAAATATATAGAGATTACTATGACCATATCGCCATCACTTTTTGATGATTTTAAATGATACAATTGGTAGATATTTAACTCAAAACTACTATTGTCTTTCTCTGTGGAAGTACCTTGCATCTATCAAGAACAGCAAAAATAAACCTTTGGTATTTAAACATGAAGCTGTTAAACTAGTTAATTATGGAGAACTGAATTTGTTTTCTAGTCGTTATCATAAGAAAGACATTTTTCATTTTTCATTTACTTCTTTTTGCTTTCTTTCAGTTTATTTTTATAGTAACCATCATTTGTTTTAGGTTTTCATTTATTAGAACTATCATGTTTGATTGTCATTATTTCAAAATTCTGGTTCAAATAAAATAAAAGTAAATATTTGAAATATTTTAGGAGATTATGATATTCTCATTGATTCAACATGGATTTTAGAATGCTTCAAACAACACAGATTACATATTGACTCATATTTACATATCAGTACTTGTATAAGGTGTGGTTTTTTACACATCCAGATATATATAGTATATTTAAGCAACAAGAATTCATTTTAATAAGATTTTTTATTAAATTTTGAATAACTTGTACAAAATTGTGCATAAACTGTTGAAAGTTGGTATTTTTGTTCTTGTTGTTTCAGTTTTCTCAGTCATTATGAAAGACTGAATTTTGTTACTACAGTATCAATATTGTTGGCTACATCCTAGCATATTTTTTTTTATCACTTACCTACCATATTGACAAAATTCAGTTGTTCATAATGACAGCAACAGTTGAAAGTATTTGATCTAAAACATTACCTTCAAACAGTTTATACACAATTTTGATTTGGATGTACAACTTTTTGTTTGGAAATTGTAAAAATAGGATAAAAAAATTAAACAGAGCTTGTCAGTTGAATTTAATAGAACTTGTTTATTTTATATATATATATATATATATATATATATATATACACAAGATAATAATGAAAAATGCATTTATTTTAATAAGTATTTAATTTTCAACATAATCTTTTTTCTTGACAATGTATTTAATCCCAGATTTTTCTATTGATTTAATATTATATAGTGAAAATTTCAGATCAAAATTCAGTTAACAACTGTATCAGACCTTGGACTAGTTTATGCATATTGTATATAAAAAGTGTTCTGTTTTGTAAACTGATCACAAAATATTTAATGAGGATAAATGTTTTTGAATATATTTTCATTTTGTCAATGGTTTGAAGGTGGCTTATTGGTTGATTGAATGCATTTGAAAATTTTACCACTGACCATCTCACAGTGGAGTTTGGCAATAACACATCCTTCTCACAGCAAATTTATATCTGTTGTGGAATAAATAGTACACCTCCAGTGACTATATGAACTAGTCCATTACTATAAAGAGCTCCAGTCAGAGGTAAGACTGGTAACCATTTGGAGTCAGTCTTCAGACTAATACATGTATCATGGCAAGTAGCTGAAGAATTACTTATATGAAATTTGTTATATAAGTGTGTGTTATAACAATAGTCATATAATAGTGGTGTTGTAATAATATCTAATCCTAATAATAGAAAACTGGAAAGAACTGATATCACCCATAATGAAATTGTCAACATTTTCAAAAATTGGAAAGGAGGCTGGCTGGATGGAGAAAATTACTTTGCTATGTTTTGTCATTGTCAATGAATTATTATTATCTTTGTTGGCTGTTATTCACTATAAATCTTTTTAGTTATATGGCATGTCTTTTGAAAATTTCAGCTTTGTCTCTTTTTAATTTTAGTACAACAATTACACAACCATTTTGGAGCAGAAGGCAGATCGCTTCTATTTGAGCAATCTGTGCTTTAAGTCCTTCAAAGCTTGGCTTAATTATTCTAGTGAGCAGACTTTGGCTAACTGGGAAAAAGAAGAAATGGCTCAAAAACATTACCAAAGGTTTGTGTGTTTTTTTGTTTTTTTTCTTCAGATTTATTTATAAGTAAAAAGTTTGTTGCAGATTTGAATCAACCCACAACAAAGAAGAAGCCAAAAAAGGTTTTTAAATATAAAAATATAAAATATTTTTATTTTCATGTTTTTTGCAACTAAATTTTTCATAGCATATGTGAGTGTTCTTACAGTCTTTGTCTGATAGGATGAAAAGAAATGTGATTTCTTTGCGTGTATGTGTGAGAAAAAAGAGGCAAGGGAGAAAGTGAGGAGGAAAGTGTAAGCTTTATGTAACTTGGTGAGGAAGACGGGTGAATGAGTGAGGAAATTTCTTTTAAGCCCAGCCATCCTGAATTGTTATCATAGTTCGCCTGTCTGCTCTAGAAATTTTGCTTACTCTTCAAATCGATCATGAAGCGTGTTTTTTATTATCAGTAGGAACGCAATCTGATCAGTTGGTTGAAAAATATTAAATATTTATTTTCAATGGATTAATTAATTAACCAGAAAGATGTGCAAATCCTCCAATTCAGAAAGCATTTTCTTTGTGATTTGAGGATTGACTGTCTTGGTGTTTATTTCTGTCTTCACTCCATGGGTTCAGCATTGGAGATACAGTTGGTGTAACAGTAATTGGTATGAAAAATTCCAACCAAGGCAGTTTGATAGAAGTCTTACTAATTAACCAATAGCTGGGGGAAGAAGAGGTGGATCCATACCCTTTCCCAAGGGTATTTGCGTGTAAATAAATATAATGAACCTAACTGGAATTGGAACTTAGCTCTCCAATTGAAAATTTCAAGCCATTATCCATTACACCACCCACACATCCAAGCTTACAACACCAGGTATTCTCACTTGGTCACCAGTCTAGGCTTGACATTGCTTAAATTTGGTAACCAGGGCAGTTTGCATTTACTTTTAACTAATATTCCTGTGAAGTCATGAATCTGTCTCTTGTACCAAGTAGCTATGAGAGAAAATGTAAGGCAAAATGATTTCTTTAGTTCTAGTAGAGTAAATCATCTGGGAGGAATTTTGAATTCAAAGCCAGCCTAAAGTGGTACTTCTTGCCATCCTATAACCATTGCTACTACTGGAGTTGCAGTACACATGATGCCTATAATAGGTTACAGAACACATGTAGACATGCTATCTATTCAACGTTGTTCACAGGAATTTAACATTTTTTTAAAATAAGTTTGATTTATTTTAATATTTTGATTTATTTTATTTTTGTTATTATTATCAAATAGCTTTTTCATTGATAAAAATTAGTACTATTTCATACATTTATTAAATTTAGCTTACTATGTGGAGCAAACACCAAGCACTTTCCTTATTTTTTTTAAAACATTTCTAACTTAATCTTTGTACATTGAGTCATAGAAGCCATCAATAGTAGGGCATCTTGGAAAGAAAAGAAATTACATAACTAGATGGTCTGTGAGACTAGCTAGCTAACAATTGTCAGCAGGCTTCCAACATTTTGTACTAATTTCCATAAGGATGAAAAAGAAGTTCTTTAAAAAAGAGTAATATTTCTGATCAAGAACTAATAATAATTATTGTATTTGTTTGAAAACAAACTTACTTAATATTCCAAAATTACCTTTTCCCCACAGAAAAGGGATTTTTTGTTTTAATTTTGTTTGTGATTACTTGGAAAGTTTGAATGTAAATAATGGTAACATAAATTGCTTTTTTTCTAAGACAATTTTTAAACCTTTTTCTAAATTTTTCGTCTTTAAATTACTGCAAATTGTAAATACAAGTACAAAGCCTCTTACTGAAAAGTTCCCCAAACTGTTCTTTGATATAGAACAAACATGGCAGCTCTCATAAGACCAAACGTGACATGGCAATAAAAATAATCTGTTGCCACTTGTGTTTAGTTCACACCACAGACATGAGTCATGGGAGACAGTTCACTCAATTTAGATATGATGTAAGCATCACAAAAGTAATAGTTCAGAAGTTGTGATTCATTAGTATGTTAGAGAGAAGTTACTAATTGAAGGAACTCTTGCAGAAACGAATGCAAGAAGAAAGAATTGACCATCAATTATAAAAAGACAGAATGTATGATTTTCAGTAAAAAGGAATGTCACAAGAAAATTTAAATATCTTGGATGTGTTTTAATAGAGAACAGAAAATGTGACACCAGAATCTGTTAGAATAACAAAAGAAGCCTTTCAAAAGCTAAGCAAAGTATTAAGAAACAGGAAAATTTCACTAAAAACAAAGAAAAGAATGCTGAACTGTTATGTAATATTGGTTCTCCTGTATAGCAATAATTACTGAACAATCTCATCGCAGATGAAGAATAGACTTGAGGCAACAAAAATGTCGTTATACAAAAGGTTGATGAGGATACCATGAACTGAACATATGAGTAACAAAGACATTTTAAGGAAATTGAAAACAAAAAAAAGGACACTTGGAATCAGAAAGAAGCAACTGAAATTTCTAGGCAACATAATGAGGAAAGCAGGCTTGCTGAATTTGACATTCATGGGATACATATTGAAGCAAGTACAGATTGGAGGTTGACAGAACAGAGATTAAGATAGCAAAATGACAAACTTTACTAAAAGCTACAAAGAACAGGAAGTTGTGGAGAGCCATGATTGCCCACATTCTGAATGGACACATCATATAAAATAAGGAAAAGGTCAGCAAGGAGAAAAAGGAAGAATTATGAATATTATTATATGAACAGGCTCTCTTTAGCTGAGTTGTTGCTATAATAATTTGATTAAAGTTCTTTGTAGGATCTGCATATATGTTCATATAATACAGGATAATAGTTGTAGGTTTATAATTTATTTAGATCAAGGGAATATGTACAAGAGTTAAGGGTTGATGAAACCTGAATGAATTGGAGTTAGGCCAGCATAGATATCAGTGTTTGTATTGAGCCAAAAAAACACTGGTCAAGATATGTGATTCAGTTAATTTTTTTCAGAATAGATTACGGCAGTCAATCCAAAAATTGGACAAATAAATAGCTTTATCTTCCCAGACCAAAACAAACTATTAAATAAGCGACCTAAACAAATCCCCTCCTCCAAAAATGTACTGTTAATAAAAAATCGAAAACCAAAAAGGATAAATAAATATATAAAATAAAATGAAAATAAAAAACAAATAAAATAAATTAACCCAAATAAATAAATAAACAAGCCACTCCTGCTAAATAACCGCCAGAATGGATTACCGACAATGCACCACTGACCCATATATATAAATAGTTGAGAAAAAATCCAACATTTGCAGCCTGACAATTGCATCTAGCATGAAACAGCCTGTCGCCTCTGAGTGTTGACATCAATGTTCACTTTATATATATATATATATATATATATATATATATATATATATATATATATATATTATTTATTATTATTATTATTTTAACTTTTCATATTCACGTATCATTTTTTTAGTGTTGGTATATAATTGATGTAGAAAGATGGCTTATCTTTTTCTATCAATTTTATACCAACACTAAGATACTGATAGTATGAGAGGACTAAAATAAAAATGGCATAATATGTCTAGAGTGTTCAATCAAACATACTTGAATGTAGGTATGCTGCCTAAGTATATATATATATATGTATATATATATATATATATATATAGGCACAGTGGAGTTGCAAATACTCTTAGAAAAGGAATGAATTTGTTTCTTCTATGGGTGAATGTCAGGACAGACTGGATCCTATAAACTTAGGTCTATTTTAAGAGAAGGACAGCTCTGAATTCAAAACTTGAGGGGCATCATTTGAAAACCTTGTGGAACACAATGTGCATCAGTTCTCCCTATTCAACTCTTCCAAAAAGTGTGATTGGTTATTCGGTCCAAAGAAACTCAGTTGCTGTACCTTCATCAGTTGAAAACAATGGGAGAGTCCAATGTGTGTGTGTGTATATATATATATATATATATATATATATATATATACACACACACACACACACACACATACACACAAACATTTTTTTCTCACCAGTAGCACAAATCGGCATTTCATGCACAATGCAATCTTCAGGTGCTGAATTGAGATTGACCATTACATAATTTAATTTTTGTTAAATATATCAGGTTATTTTGTATTTGAAGTAAACATAAATATAAATAAAGGAATAAAATTATGAATTTTGTATGTAAAATAAGCAAAAAAAAGGAAAAACACACACACAAACACATCCACATAATTTATTTATTTCAAGTTACAAAGGTAGAATTATAATCTAAATATAAATATTCACTTCTAGGTATTTATAAAAAAAATTATAATACGCCATGACTCACCAATATCATGGCACATCTACATATGTAAATTAATATATATATATATATATATATATATATATATATATAGATAGATAGATAGATAGATAGATATCCATGTAAATAACTACATTAGCAAAATAGTTCTAAATTAAGTTACAGCCACAAGTGCATAAAAAAAGGTATATCTAATTATATATCACCATGTTTGATACAATATTTACATGGGGGAAAATATATAAATGTTCATATTTAAATATTTATAAAAAAGAACAAATAATAATAATATATTAATCATATCTCTTTTGTATGTAGACAGTCTTGGCTCTCCAAAGGTTCTTTTGTTTAATATCTATAACTTGTGCATTGTTATGATTGTTCTTTGGTAAAATTAGTGGTTTGGTTGCCTTCTGTATGATTTTGAATTCAGAATTGACCTTCAAAACTAGTTGTCTTTCTCAAGCACATTAATACAAAGTGAGCACAACAGTCTAGGTCAAAATTTGAACCTTTTCCATTTTCTCTACCAATAACTGTTTTGCCATTCTTCTGTTTATATTACAATTCCAAAATTTCAAATTCTAAAATATGTTTGGTTCCAATCGTTTCAGAAAAGCGTTTGTGTATCTGCATTAAGTGGTGTGGACACATTGTCCTTCTTATTTGTTTTTCTTTCTATTTTCCACTCTTCAACTAATTTTTGAATTACTAATGTTTGTCAAAATCTTTTTTTTTTTTTCAAAGGCAACTGCAGAGAAGAATGTTTAGAATATGGAAGACATTTCCAGAAATGAAAAAAAAAGAGATGGAGCGTCAGGAGAGGAAGGAGAAATTACGCCAGAAAGTGTCTATACTCATACCAGATTTTAAATCAGAACCATGAAGTGTTTTCCAATTGCAATATTAATTTCTTTATAAGCCTGGCATAAATGCACTAACCAACATGCATATGATGTATTCTGCTATCAGCTACAGACAAAGCTATGCTTTGTTTCTTCCAGAACTTCAATATCTGTTATAAGCTTATTTTTTTTTGTCTGTAGATTTCTTTCTTGAAGTTCTTAGCAACTGAGGCATTACCTTCTCAGTTGTGTTGTCCAAGAATGTTTCATCTTATATCTGTCATGCTATATTTTGATAATTTTACAACAGGAAACTTAGGCAAGATATATTGTCAATGAAATCACAGCAGAAATAAGAGGAAGTCATCACTTCAATTTGGGATCAAATCCTAATCACAGTCCTTTTGTCAGACTATATCAAAGACTAATGTCTTATTGTGAAATATTATTATTACTTTCCTAACATATTGTCATCTTCAATCACAAGTTATACATATTACTTCTGGGCCATAAGAGTTTTTACATTTGTATATTTTTGTTTTGATTATTGGCAACATTTCTGAAAGGTTACGTATCAACTAGGGACAATTTTGTGTTGTTACATTTAAAACTGACAGTCAAAGTTCAGAAAAAAATTGAAATTTCTAAAACTGCAGCTTCTGTGCTCATCTATATAAATTATAAATTTAGATGACATTTTCTTAATCTTCCTATTAATATTATTTATGGTGGATGTCTTTGTTAAATGGAAATAATTCCTATAAAATTCCTGTAAAATTAGAGACATGGGTAAAGATAGATTTTGATGTGAAAATCATCTGCCAAACAGCATTAAATATAACTGATGCTATTTTGGTTGGTAAGTTGATTTTGTTTAGTGGCATATTAATGTCTCTGGGTTATTTAATGCCAAAATCTAAATATTTTAAACATTGCTTCAACTAAATATATTTTGAACACAATTGTATGCCTGTAATTACAGATAAAAATGTATTGTTGGTCTTTTTTTTTTTTTGTATAAAAATTTATTGCTGGTATTTTTACTATAAAAATGTATTTTGTTTTTGTTTGAGGGTTCACTATTTGTCCATAGATGGGACCCTAAAAGGTGCTACTACTCCAGATAAGGGTGGACCTGGGAACAACAGCAATTAAGAGGTGGCTCCACACTCCTCAAAATCACCAATCTGTTGATCATAGACATTGTAGTTTTGATGCTATTTTTAAAGAAGAAAAAATACTTAAATTTATTAATGAAATTAAGTTATTAAAATGTTTCCCAAAATGAATGGTTCCAAGCTCTGAATTAATAAACTATTTAATTTTTATTGAACTTTTCTTTTTATTTTGGTTTTATTTACAAATATAACAAGTATTTCATGACAAATTTCATATACTAAATGTAACTAGTAAAGGACATAAGTAATAATATTTATTAAAGAGTGTTGCCAATAATCGAAAGAAAAAATAAATAAATCTGACAACTATTATGGAACAAATACAGAAATATAATTAAGAGAAAACTTTGTAGAATTACTTTTTGTACTTCCTCATAATCATGTAAATTTTTGTGGAGTAAACACCAAGCACTTGGCTTCTTTTTTAAAACATTTCTAACTTAATCTTTATACATTGAGTCATATAAGCTGTCAAGTCTAAATGAGAAAAAGCATTTAGATAAACAGTTACAATGTGAATAAAGTTGGGAAGAAAAAGAAACTTACTTTATTCAAAATTACTAAATTATTTTTGGCACTAAATATATAAATAAATGTTTGATATCTTTTCCGACAACTTTGTTTGTATTTATGACTTATATTTTTTGAATTTATTGAAAATTTCTGGGAAGTGTTTTAACAGAGGATGGAAAATATGATATTGAAATCCAAAGGTGCATTGGGATAGTCAAAAATACATTCCAAAAGCTAAGCTGAGTATTAAGAAATAGAAAAATTTTACTAGAAACAAAGAAAAGAGTATTGAACTGTTATATAATATCAGTGCTCCTTTATGGAAGTGAATACTAAATAATCTCCTCAAAGATGAAGAAACTTGAAGCAACAGAAATGTGCTTCTGCAGAAGGACTGAATATATGAGCAATGATGAAGTTTTTAGAGAGAATAGAAACAAAAAGGAAACTTATACTTAACATCAGGAAGAGGCAGTTGAAATTTCTAGTGTGATACTGTAAGACGCTGAAAGGGTTAAGTGAAAGCCCAATGGCTATACTGAGAAATAAAGCAAGATTTTATTAAATTCAGAAAGTTTATTTTTCCTCCATAAATAAACCCTAAGGGAGAAAGTAGGGCTGACTTGAAGTAAAATGGCTTTATTATTTTGAGGAATTTATCTGAAAAGGCAATCTGGATAATTTAAACTCTCAAGGGGTGGGGAGAGATGGTGTAAGAACATTCAAAGTCAGCTGAGAATTTTGTTCAACAGGATAGAAATGAAGGCATTCAGTTTATCATTACTCACTAATATGCAGGTTATGGAAAGTCTCCTGATAACCACAGGCATAAAAGAGAATCAATGGCGAGATAATATTTTTAAGGTTTTTTAGGAACAAAGTTTTTGAGGCAAAGTAAAGAGAATTGATTTATTTCACTTGTCAAAAAGGGTGGAAGGCATACATTGCTAAGGAATTTGGATAGTAACTGAGCCTGGGTGTTACATGTTGAAACTTGCTCCGAAAGCTGTCAAGGGGAAACCTGTTGAATGTTCGACTGAGAAAATGATGTTTGTGTTGAATTTTGAGTGATAATTAAAATTAATGATTTGGAGCTAAGCCTTGCCTGTTTGCCTACACAGTCTAAAAATCAAATTTGTCAAAATGACCTGAAGTGAAAGGCTCAGATGAAATACCAAGGAAGATGGAGTAATTGCCTACACCACCTTGGTTAGTATTGGTATGAGGTACCAATATGAGGAGGAAGGAGTTAATGTAGATCGATATTCTGCTACCATTACTCTTAGGAGGAGGGATATCCCCAAAATTGGGCATGCAATTAATTTTCCAGAGTCAAATGACAAAGGACACTTTGTAGGAATTAGGGGATTTACCAAAATTCCAGGTCCCATCAGACTCCACACCAGTTTTGTGTGAGAGTCCATATAAGCAAAAGATCAAAGCAACCAAGTGAGTAGCCACTCGAATTGCTGTTGGAGATGAGAAATGACCGCTTCTCCCAATCTCACGTGACTTGCTGCCTGAAGAAAATCTCTGACTTAAGCCTAGTTGTAGAAGCCTTGTGTCAAATTCAGTCACAGCAAGAAAAGCATCACATTAATATACAAAGCACGAAAGGTTGATAATTCTGCATGAAGAATTTATTTTCTGCATGATGCATATATATTCCTGCCTGAAGAATTGATAATTGTAATACCAGCTTTGTACAAAGTATGTTACATAAAACATTTTCTTTTATTCAAATTATTTTTTTCTACTTGTGACTTCACTCTGCCCGGACCAAACCAATACAATAATTCCTGTCAACAATTGGATCCTTGCCAGCCTTGTGATCAGAATCAAATACAATGTGGGACAGGGCAAGTCTTAGATCAAAGTGATCAACTCAATGTTCACTTGTGGGGATTGGACATCGGATGGACTGGCAAAGAAAAAGGCTACACTAGGGCATATAATGAGGAAAAAGGGTTTGGAAAATCTGATGCTCATAGGACAGATGGAAGGCAAGAGGATCAGTGAAAAAGAATGCATAACCTACTTAGCCTGAGTAAATGGATGGAGGAACAGAGTTTACAAGAAATAACAGGAAGACAACATTTATTAAGGACAAGAAATTGTGGAGATGTGACACTGGGGCCTCAATGAATTAATCAAGAAAAAGGAAGAGAAAAGCAGGGAAAAAAGACCCCCCTCCCTCAAAAAAAGGAAGAGAAAGAGAAAAAGATGGTTGCAGAGAGCATGAAAGGATTGAGTTACATTCTTTTGAGGGGTCAGTGTACTAAAAGGAAAATAAATTGAAAGTACAATAACTGAGGGATAAACAAACAATTTTTGAGATTTGGGGATTCATCTGGCAGGGGCCATCTGGATCTTCTCCAGTTAACTTAGAGTGACTGGGGTCCAATGCATAAGCAAACTTGGGTGGTCTGGCTGACCAAGAAACACATAACCAGACAAAGAGAAATTCTTTTTATTACTAAAGATATTGGGAATCTTTTTATTTTCTTTTACTCACTTATGACAATTGTTGGATAAACAAACAATTCTTGAGATTTGCCTGGCAGGGGTCATCTGGATTGGCTCTGATTATCTTAGAATATGATCAAGTCCCTGTCTTTGGGAAATCATCTAAAACAAAGTGAGACAAGCTGATAAAGATTAATTACTGAAAACCCCCTCTTCACCTACGCATTCTAAAATTTAAATCCATCATAAAGACAGTTGTACCAGCCTTGGGAAATAGACTATGGTTGGATGTTGAGAAGTTGGGAGAAAGGAGGAGAACTTGGCACCATCTATATGGAGCAATGGTGTGAGATGTAAAGTGAAGTTGGAATTAAAGAGGTAGCTTGATTCCCCTGACCACTCCCAAAATTTGGAAAATTACTTCAGTAGACATATTTTGAAAATATGAAATTTTAGAAAAAATTGATGCTAGTGATGGGGGATAACCAAACCCTGACCTGGTCAACACTGGCTAGACACTGGATGCCATATAAGCTGGAGGTTTGGGAAACTTAGAGAGTTCCCATACTACTGCTACTGGAATCCATGTCATTTGCTGGCATCTCCTGACCAAGACCTTGTGCCATCTCTGGAGATCAGAACTTAGAAATTTAAATTACTACTAACACAGGCTGTAAACACAGTGTCATTTGATTATAACAGTAGTGGGAAGGCTTAAAACCACTGTATACAACAAATCATATATAAACAAAAAATGTTGTTACATTTTTAACCAGAGTTAATTCTTTATTCCAAAGAATTCTTTTCTGTGTAGCTCCTAGTCATCAACCTGTTCTTCACTTCAGTTTACTTCATCAGCAATGTTTTCACCTTCTGAGATCAAA